TCTCTCTCTCTCTCTCTCTCTCTCTCTCTCACTGAAAAGAGCAACAACGACGTGTGAACGATGTTAGGATTTCGAGAACGTATCGTCCGGCCAAGGCGGTTTTTCTCAGTGAGAAACGGGGGGTAAATCCAACCTGCCACGATCGAGTCGGAGACCCCAATACCAATAGTGGTATCCTCGTCAAAGCTTAGGCCGAATCACAAGGTGGGGTACTCGTACACGTCCAGCGACGTACGAGTCAAGCGCTCGCCTTACCACCGTACACCCGATATTACAATATATATGTATATACGCGAAACACTCGTCGGAAACCTACTTTAAAAAGTTGGCGAATTTTTTCGTCACGCTGCTTTTTCAATTTGTTGCTAATATTGCCCGGTCCAGCGAATTTCAATTGTTGTACGTTGCCCCAATTACTATACAGTGACAATAGATGCCGGGACTCTGATTGGCTCGTCGTAGAGGTGTGTTCGTACTGCTTGGCGTGACTGGTCGACAAAATTTTGGGAAATGCCAATAACTGCGCCGTCGTGCTATGCGCACAGTGGCGCAAAACATACTTTCCATTACCCCGAACATTCAACGTTATTTTATTTCATTTATTCCGACGTCTGTTCCAACCACCGTTTGTTTAAATTATCACCAATACACTAAATAACGTTTGACGTTGGTTTCTGAATTTCACTTATGTCAAAATATTTGCGATAATGTAACGTTCGTTAAAGTCGTATGTTACGTAAATAGTTAGTTAGTTTTAAGTATGGATTATTTGCAAAATATACTTAAAAACTGACAAATATTTGGTCGGTAATCTTTTTTGTTCATAAATGTCGCAAACAACTGTACATATTTCAGTTATATTTTTTTAATTTTACATATTTGTTATTACACCTTGGAGTGACGAATGAAAATGCATGAAAATTTTTAAATTATAAATTGCCGAATAAACGTATTTGGGAACTGTGGATGCATATGTACAAGTATACGGAATAATAAAAAAGATTTAAAAATATTTACACTGCTCTGTATTTTTTATTTTAATTAAAAAACTTTTTAACTTAAATTTGTCGTAGAAAACTTATGAATCATATAATGTAATTTGTGTAACAGCACTAATAGTTACCGATCGAAATATATTTTTATTCATAAATATAATTATCAAAATTTTTTATACTATTAATCGTGCGACACATAAAAGTATATATTATTTCGATAATGATTTTATGATTT